TCTTGAGTTGCAGTCTCAACCCTTGGCTTCCTCTTAGGGGACTTAATACAGCAATAATGTCTTGCCTGAAAATACATTCAAAGAGTCATTATGGGTCTTCCATACAGTCATTTCAGCTAGCAGAGGAATGTTATTTGGGAAGGTCATCCTGGCTTTCTGTCTGTAGATGAGATTTTTACATGGAATTCTTTACTACTCCACCACCACCACTTTAAGTTTTAATTTATTATTCTATAACATGTCTGGTTATAGTCTGTTTCCAGTTGCTTTGACAGAAATAGAATTATCAAGGCATTTTTATTTTCCTGACATATGGAGCACTTCTCTTGACTGATTAGAAGATTCTTGCCCTGAACCTAGTGCTCTCCATGACTTCTAGGCAATGTTTTGTGAAAGTTAACATTTTTCTTTTCCTATTGCATGCTCCCTACAAATCAAATAACTTGATTTGAACTGGTAGGAAAAATTGTAAAAGGCTGTGTTTGATTATATGGGAATTAGGGGTGTTGTTTGGTTTTTACAGTTTTTAATTAGAAATCTCATGTCCGAAAACATTTAATGAAAATTTTTGTTTTCAGATTCCCTTCAAAAGATTTTTTTAAATTGAAAATAAAAATAAAAAAAAATAGTTTTTCTGTATGTACCACACTATATTAAATTAACAGCATGACATCAAATCAACAGCTCTAAAGCTTCTGATGAATTATGGCCAAACGCCCTATAAAAGGTTGACCTTCTTTGCTTTCTTCATCACTATGGATTTAATAATTTCTCTGCCTGCAGCACAGGGTTTAATCTTGCAAGACCATAAAATTAAATGAAAACATTTAGGTCCTTACATTTAGTTTGTATTTTGGCAGGTTCATTTCACAGAAACTTTGCTTTTTCTGCACATACCTAAAACTCATCCCCTGCTTCCCCTTATCTCACTCTGACTAGGAACAGCCTTTTTCCTGCTCTTGATGAATGCAGCCTTGCCATGCTCATTGTCTGCTTGGCATGATATTTCAAAGGCCATTTTCCATCCTGCCATGGGGTTATTTTTTGCATGCAGTCGGCTACTGCACAATCCTTCTTCAGATACTTCCTTTGTCATCATGCACTTCACAAACACAGCATGGTTTATAAGAAAAGGCATAGGGCTTACTGACACACAGATCCTAAAATTAAGACTTGGAGACTTACAGGAAGCTGGACTCTAATATAAATATGGTGCAAAATTCTGCCATCTGCCTTTTGGGAAGGGCTGAGTTAAATAGGTATGGTGAACCTTTTCTCACGGATCAGAGGTTGCACATCTTCCCAACTTTCTTCCTTCCTAAGCCACAGAAAACACAAGAGTAACCCACTTTGTCCTCATGGCAGTCTTTACCCTAAGAAACCTATGTCACATGGGCTATAGTCACACTTCAAGCTTGGTCACACTACCTTGGAAGCCTTTCCCTCCAAGGAAAATTTCTATTTTGCAGGACATGGGAAAACATCTGAATTTCTTGGTAAATAGGAGACAGGTAGAGTAAGAATTCTCTTTTAGACATTTCGAAAACAAAAGAGGGAAACTAAAGAGAAAAAAAATAATTTAAAAATATCTTGAATTATGTTCAAAGCAAAAAAATGTGCAGTAATATAACACACCATTTTCTTTTAGTACCAAGTATAACCAAAGCCTGCCATTTCCAGGCACGTTGGTTTAGTCTAAACTTTAGTAAGCATGCATCAGGAGATCAGGTTTCTACATTACTGGAAAAAGCTACCAAGGTCTGTTGTTTCTGGTGAGGCAATAAGCCCTAGATACAGAGTCCTAATGCTCCACTGTCTCCTTTAAAATAATTTTGAGCATTGATTGCTGGAGAGTGGAAATAAGCAGTGTTGGTTTTTTTAATATAAAAAACACAGTTACTGTTGTAATAAAGTCTTTCCATATCCAATGGAGGAGAGCAGGACAAATGAATGGATGTTCTCCCCATGGAATTTTCCAGGATAGCGAAGCTTGTGTTAATCTGCAGTCAACACTTCCTACCATTTTACTCAAACATTGAATCAAACAAGGATGGAATTAAATCATACATTTTCACTTCTTCACCCACTGAATATACTTTCACATACAGAATCCTTCCAAGTATATCACTGTGAGCCAGACACCATCTACCCCACACTGAGTCTATGTAATCAAGTCTCCATTGAAAACACAAATATAGAGCCGGCTGAGTGACTGATAGGCAAATTACTTCCTGCCAGATAGGTTTAGTAAAGTAAGAGAGTATGTGATGTCTTCTAGAAAACCAAAGAAAAGAAAAATACAGAAAAAGAAAAAAATACAGAAAGCTTTCAGTTCAGGAATTACAGCTTCATTCTTCTTCAGTAAATACAGATGTTAGAAATAGAAGGTTGTGTTGCTGTGTTTGCCAGAAAAGGCGAGAAGACATATTCAGTTTTTTGAAATAGAAAAATTACAGCTTTTTTGCACAGAGACTCTTCATTGTGCTTTCACAGCGCTAAGGCATGTTCCAAACTATTTGGCTTCCTGAAGGTGTACTGCTGTTAAAAATGTCCAAGAACCAGATCTCCAAGAAAGCCAGACCCATAGCTATAACCTAACTTTCAGATATGCACAGCTGTCATCAGCTCTGATTGAATTCATCCTCAGTACCTTTGTCTCACTGTAAAGCCTGAAAAAAATATTTCAGAGCCTGTTCCTGAAAGTGTATTGAATATAGAGTTGTGGTTCATACATCACCAGTTTGAAAGCCATAAAGAATCAAGCAACACCTCCACCAGATACTTTTTACAAACAGCTATGTCACTGTTAACGATTCAATGAAGCAAAGTAGGTAGGAAGGAAAGTAACACAAATTTACTATTTGATTGGACACCTGGGTGGCATAGTTGATGTATTGGTTTATTCAATTCAGTAGACACTTGAATGATTCAGTAGCTTCCCGTAGATTTGAAGTATCACCAATCTTAACCACTTAATTATCAAAGTACTTTCTTCCTTTGGATATAATTGAGAGGAGGAAACAAATTTGCTCATGGCGTATCCAGCTCCTGGATCCAGATTGTTGATAAATGTATTTAACAGGACTGGCCCTAGAACTGAACTCAGAGAAACACCTCTGGTAACTGGTTACCAGCCAGATTCACTACAACACTTTGAGCTCTGCCCTTCAGCCAGTTCTTCACCCAGTGCACCCTGTACCCACTCATCCCACAGCTGGACCACTTGTCCAGAAGATGCTGTGAGTGACAGTATGAAAAGCCTTCCTAAAACCCCAAAACTCTGCATCCACCACCTTCCCCTCATCCTCTCGGAAAATGACTCTAACATAGAAGGAAATCAATTTTGGAGATGCTGATTTTGTTTCAGTCTGTTTGATTACTTGATTCTTTCCTTGAGGACTCACTGAGATAATAATCTCTTCCACTGGAATCAAGTTCTTCAGCCAAAAGAGCCATGGAGCTGATCAGATCTCAGCAATACCTCCTTCTCACTCATAATATTTGTAGTTTATTTTTTGGTTTGTTTTTTTTTAATGCTCTATATGTGTCAGAATAGCTAGTGCTATGTGGGAAGTTAGCACAGACCTACAACTTTGCTAAGGAACTGTCAAATTAGTAAAACTTGACGGAAAGATACAATTCCATCTGATCCCACAAAAAGTAATCTGCTACTGCCACAGTTCCATACCAGTGAAGAAAGTTTATCCCATCTTCCTTGGTATCTTTGGCCATGTAAGACATTAAAGGGGAAGCAAAAAGACAAAGCTTCACCAACCCTTGTTCTCTTGGCATGGATCAGAGTGGTGCTGGAGCCTCTTCTGTTCTCTCCCTGAAATGGAAAAGATTTGTTACTTCATACTCTTTGTTATTTTCAAAAACAACTCAATGGGGAGAGCTAAGTGAATTTCTCCCTTCTCTGTCACCATCAGCCTGGCCACCAACTGTCCCTCAGTTCCAAGAAACAAGGTGGGGGGCAACACAGCATCAACAGACATTTTGTAATATGTCACTTCCTACCCTTTCAGTACACAGCTCCTGGAAGTTGCCAAGGTGTCGATTTTAAACACCTATAGCTCTAAAGATTTCTTTTTCCATGAAAAACCCTCCTGGATTGCAACAATTTGAAGTTTTAATAGACTTCATTTAGGAAAGGTTGCTTGACTTTGTCTGTGCCAAGAGTTGTGGGTTTGTGTTTTCGGTTTGTTTTTTTCTGAGGGGAGTTTGTCTGAGGATTTGGTTGGGTTTTTTTGGTTGTTGTGTTTTGTTTTTGTTTTGTTTTGTTTTGTTTTGTTTTTTGCTTTTTTGCTTTTTTTATTTTTTTTATTTTAATTTGTGAGATGGTATTGAATTAGGACTGGGCACAGCATTGGGCACGGCATTGGGCACAGCAAAGAAAGAAAGAATAATTTTGAGCACACAAAGTCTGCATGATGTCAAAGTGAGACAAGTTTATCAAAAAGAAATGCACTGAAGAGACATAGTAAAATATTGCATAGACTTCAGGAAGTCTCTGAAGGTGAGAATAGTAGAAGGCTGGGTGAGATACCTCAGGGAAAAACACCACGAGGACAATCAGCCCTGTTTACTCCCCCTTGGATATCCACTTCAAACCCAGGGCCAACAAGACCTTTAGTTTTATATTTTGGGATATGAGCGTCTAGTGAACGGTTGATACTTCAACATGTGGAATGAAAAAACAGGGCTGCTGGACGTCATCTGGCACCTACTGGAAAACAGTTGGTTCTGAATGAACCATTCACAAAAGAGGGTCGAACACTGAAGGTGGATCTGAACTTTCTCGTGAACCAACTGGCAGCATAAGAAGGCCTTTGGGAATAAAGGGACACTGCCCTTTTTGCTCTGTGTCAGTCTTCACAGATTTGATCCTCTGGGACTTACAGTATTATTGTCAACGACGAGGTACCACTTTTGCTCTGTCAAAGGTGAGCAGGTTGCACAGTGCATTGTTGGGTCACTGCCAGAGACACACTCCAGCAAGGCAAAGTTCCCCCTGTGGAACAACAGTCTCTGTAATAGCTCCAAAAGAAAACTTCATGTGCTCAGGAAAAACAAGTCCTGGTATGTTCCACCAACTGCTGACATTTCACTTCACAAACTGTCAAGCAAAGATCCTTTATAAGATGAGCTTCCTATCAGAGCAGAATTAAAGCCAGGCTATGGATAGCTAGAATTATAAATTAAAGAAAGTCAGACTAGATATACACTGTGTTTTCTGTATTAGAAAAAGGTAATTAAGTTGGAGTAGCTGATCATTGCAGATCTCTTCCAACTGGAACTATTCTGTTTTATCCCCGATGACAAAGAGGACTGAAGATGACAGCTCAAAAATAGGTGTAACGGGATGCAATCTATGATAGGATGATGGCTAGAGATTGGGAGAGTTTGTCTTAACTCAGTCTATGTAGAACTGCAGCACTTTCTAGCAGGGTGGCTTTTCCTACAAAACTAACTGGAAAATTTAAATATACAAATGTGTAGGGGAGAGGGATATGGAATGCTTCACAGGGACATGGAGTTGGAGCAGGTTGATGAAAAGCCAGTTTAGAAAGAAAGAGCCGTGAAAGTAATTTTATTTGGATTTGATTTTGGTGACCATCTAGTGAGCAGGAAAAACTATGTAAATGCAAATTAACATCAAACCCATATTTAGAGGAATTAAACCCTAGGCTTCAACAAGTACTTGAATGGACCTTACTAAAAGATGCTAAAACTTACTTCGTAAAATGAATGATAAAGAGGAATTCAGTGTCTAGGGAATCCTTTAAGTTATCCATTAACTACATGGCTGTGTCAGACCTAGGAACTAACTCTTCAGTGTCTGGAAGCAGAAGAAAAGCAGAGAAGGAAAATCAGAGCAGCTGGAGAAAGACAAATTAATTGCAAGAACACAGACAGTGGTAGCCTAAAAATATGACAGAGGATGGAAAAAAAAAAAGTAAATAATTTGAACAATTATTCCAGAAGGAAAATGGTTGTCAGATTGACCACATCAAAATCCAAAAGGAAACCTAAGTATCCATGGTTATTAACCTCAGGCCTCTTACATTCAGACATTACAAAAAGGTCTCACTGCTGTGAATGAAAAATGGGACCCAGAAAAAGGTAAACGACTTTAAGGTAAACAGACTCTGATACACAGGAGATCTAAGACGATGGGAAGGAGGGTTCCTTTTTCATGGAATATAGAGTGATAGTCCAGGCAGCCTGGTCATAAACAGTCAAGTCCAGTCTGAAAGCAAGTAGGCACAATGATATACTGATCTCCTTCAGTGTTACCAGCAGGGCAGTAACACAATATTTGTGTGGGAGAGGCAGCTGAATTGCTTAAAAGTAGCACAGCTCCCTATTTCCTGCATCCCTCATTGTCCTTCAAACACTTCACTGGTGGAGCTTTCACTGCCAGTTCCTTCACAGGAGATCAAAAACTAGGCAGCCATGAGGTAAAGTGGGAGCAATGGGGATGTGAAAAGCAAGAGCAGGAAGGCAGGGCACCACAGTTCTCTACTATTCTCATCACACCAGGAATGTTAAATACAAAATGAGACCAGTGTTGTAAGTATTATTACAATTCACAGAAAGGCATGAACCTCTTTTCCCAGGGGGGTGGGTGATGCCCTAAAGACATTCCTAAGAGTCCTTGCTTAGCCATAAAATAGCCTCAACTTTATGTTGAGTCCATTGTCCCATTCCACTCCATCTATCCACTTGTACCCTCACAGCTCTGCAGGAAACTCTTTGGCATAAGTATATGTTTAGTCATTTTTTGACAGGATTTCTGTGCCTGGAGGGCTGTCTCTCTTGGTAAGTCTATTAAGAGACACTACCTCTACTTCACCTTACAGACCTTGCTTTACATAAATCCTTAGGCCCACAGAATGCAACAGTAATACTAATTCATTCCTCTCTCTTTATATAAAATATTTTTCAACCTTAGAGAGGAGTTTCCATAGCAGAACCATAATATAAATTAATAACCTCATTATAAAGGTCATTCTCAGAATCATAGAATCATTTAGGTTGGAAAAGACCTTTAAGATCATTGAGTCCCAGTGTTAACCCAGAACTGCCAAGTCCACCATTAAACCATGTCCCTAATGTCTTTACAGACGAACACAGCTCATTCCTAGCTATGAAGTAGGACTATCATTCTCTGTTCTGGTACTAGAAATTTCTGGGTTTTGTAAATGTTGCTTCATATTTGGTTTCTGGATAGGAAGCAAAACCATCCTTCATGGAATCAGGCCCCCGAAGTTGAGTTTGAACAAGCCCTTGACAGTGGTTTTAGCTCCGAGTACTTTTAATATGAACACTTCAATATAATCTCTTTCTGTTGTTACCTGGCTGAGCTTCAAGAGTGGGGCAGCCACTTAGCAAATGAGATATTTCTAAAGAGAAAGAGAGAGGGAACAAGAAATCATTTATCAGAGACAGCTCTGCATTGCCTTGGCAATTAAAAAACTAATGACCCCAGAGCTAGAGCCAAAATACTTTATTGTCTTCTCCTATTATAAATCAGCCAAGTCGAATTCAGTCTAACTAATTATTATGCCAACAACCTACAGCAGAGAGTGCCTTATGAAATTACTGGCCATGGAAGGTAATCAGTCACTCTTTGGAGCCTCACACTGGAGCTCAGAAATAGACTTTGCAAAGCTTCCTTTCAACCATGTCAGATTTTGTACCCGTAGATCTAGTCTTGGCCAAAGTCTGGTGTCATCATGGAAGGGTTATGAAGTAGGAGGAGGTTCAGCAGGGAATGTGAGCTGCAAAATTATGTTAAGAATGCAGACAGTAACAAGCAGAGGAGTCAGAGGAATCTTTGCTGATACTGTCCCTACAGACTCACCTAAGCCTTCATCCTGAACTGTTCGCTCTTTACCAACATTTCTAACTATTGGTATTACTTGACCAATTTATTCTCAGCCACCTATTTAGCCATTCTGCAGTGCTGCTGTCATTTTCCATTCAGTGATACGTGCCAGCTGAAACTACCCTCCACAATCTTGCATCAGTGTAAGGTAAAGCATACACAGGTATTCTTCCCAAGAATGCCAAGGCAGTAGAAGGATTAAAAAGAGGTTTACTTCAGACGAAAGGACCACTTCTTAATGATGCTGCATGCCCCAGGCCCCCAGGGGAAAAAGGGCACTGCCCTTTTTGTATATTCTCTCTCTCCTCCCCCATCTTCTCTGGTCAGAGGAGGCCTTGTACATGTCTGCAGACATGTTGTCTCTCTGCATACCAGGGAAAGAGAGAGCTTGCTCACAGCTTCTCCCTGCAACTTTCTCTGAAATGCAGAAGGAAGGGGGAAAAAAATTCTAACCCATTTGAGAAGGTATTTTACAGTCTTCCTAATTGAAATCGAGTTCTAGCTTTCCATCACAAATTCTCTCAAAATTGTACCTATCCCTACAATCAGCCAAAAAGATGTTTGAAAGGTTCACCCCCTTTTGAGAAAGCCCAGCTACTTCTGTGTCAGCCTTTCTGACAGCCCTTCTGTCAGCCACAGAATTTCTTTGCCATGGATATCAGACACTGACCCTGTAGGAATGGCATTCAAATAAAAATGCTTATTCCAGTCTCACTTTACACTCCAACCCTTCCTATAGAATGAATTTTTCCATTAAAACCTTTTGCAATCCCATTCGACAGACATATGTCTATCTGTCAAAATAAGAATCTTCATATCTTTCTAAAAATTTACTTCCTAATCCCACAAAATTTGCCAAACCAGATCTTAGCATTTTCCCCCAGGGTCCTAACTTTTCAGTATTTTTTTTAAAATCACATTTATAGAAGCCAATTGTGGCAGTTTTGTCAAAATGTCTGCAAGAGGCAAAGGCGATATATATAGTAAAAAAGGAGACCTTTCCTTCTCACACCATCCCTTCAATCCATTCCTGTGAGATCTCTTTGCTATCAGAGAGCACTCTCTTGGGGAACACCTCTTGAGGAAATGGACTTCAGTGGGTTCAGAAAAGGGAAGATGAGTGGAAAACAAATATTGTAGTGACCTACACAGCCATGCAAATGTGCCAGTCAGGAGCTTAACAAGCTACTGTAAAAGTCCCTCAATGACTGTTCTGGTCACAGTGTCCAGAGCTCCAATTTCAGGAAAAAAACCAACCATGTCTCACTCCTACCCTTGAGCTCAACTTTAGTCGAGGGATGAGGGTGAGAGGCAGCAATTGCTGCTTCCTCCACCCCACAACCTCCAGGACTGACCCTACTGTCTCCTCTTACTCCACTTGAATTTGTAGGCAATTCCCCATACACACTCTCGCCCTCCATTTGAGGTTTCAGAGTGACCCAGAGAGAGAAATAAGCTGCACATGAATTAAATCCACATCAGCTAAAGCAAATATTGCTGCTGCTAGCACTGCAAAGAGATGACATAAAAGGACCCCAGGCCATTACAGAGACATTCACTTGATTTCCTTCCAGTGCTGCTGACTCAGAGCTGTCTCCCCTGCCCTTGATCTCTCTATGTCTTTGGCCTGTCCCCTTGACCCCATCACTCCAGGGTTTCTGACTGGCTCATTTTCAGCCTAATTCTCTCCTCTCTATTCAATGCCTGTCATATTCATGCCTGTTTCCCAAGTAGAGCAGGAACATAGCCTTCATCCCCCATCTTTGAATGTATGAGCCCTTCTTCCTGCATTCAAACTTTGATGGCACAGTCTGTTTTGCATATTTAATGGCCTCAACGCCCTGTATCATTGGGTGAGATGCATTAGTACAAACAAACAGGGCCATGACAAACTTAAACATTAACTGCAATTGTTCCTGGCTTTTAATTGTTAGCACAAACTTGCTCTGGTGTGTTTAGAATGTCAGCTGTAACCTTTCAGGCAGGTTCAGGAAGAGCACTTGCCTCGGACCATTCCCTGAAGGCAGTGTGAGTTGAGGGAAAGGTAGGAGGAGTTGTGTGGATACAAGCAATCCCTTGCCATTTAAACTCTCGGCTGGGGATCAATGCCTACCCTGTTTTATTTAGCAATGGAGCAGCACCCTGGCAGTCTAATTTCTTCTGTTGCCATCAAAAACCACCTTGATGTGTCTATTTGCTGGTGGATGGGTCTTATTTGTCTGTCATGACAAAGTGTCCTCTTTTCCTTCAGTGATTTCACTGAGCCCTCATTATGTTGTTTTGTGTCGTAACTGCTGTGTCTTCTTGAACACATGTCATATCCCTCCAGGACCTGTCCTCATTTCACCCCTTTGACATGTCTGGGCTTTCATTTGATGACAAGCAATCACTCAGCATTCATTTCTGTCTCCCAAACCTGGCAGTTCCCAAAAGCTGAACTGACCTCTGACCAGTTTTCCTGTCACATCTCCATGTGGCCATCCAGAAGCCGAATCTAACAAGAGGTGCCCTTTTCATTCATATCTGGCATATTCATATACAACAATGTGTGGCAAGATCAGAGAAATCAAATACAACTTTCAGTAGGATTTTCCAACAAGATTGCATAAAAAATAAATAAAAAAAATCACCACTGTTTTCTCCAACCTTCTTTCATCATCGGTTGACATCTCCATCTAAGATGTGTCTGCAGCTCAGACAGGAACTGGGTACAACAGCTGTTGATTAGGATCAAGGGCAGTTCTATGCATGAAATATACATTGGGACAGGAATGGCCTTTTTCTGACTTAAAAATATCTGTTAATTGATTATTCTTTTTCTTCCTCTGTGCATTCAAAGTATCTAAGGCATATCTAAATTCTCTGATTTCTTCTTTTGCAGCACTAGCAACATGGACCATCCACCTCAAGCATTTGGCCACCTGTTCTCCATCAATGCAGCTACTGCAGTCTTTGCTTTTTTCTGAGGTCTTCATTCTCAGCTCATTAGGTTCGGAATAATCATTTAGGTAAGAAACATCTCTCCTGCCCAAACCTCAATATTTGTCATCCAAACTCTTTAATTAATTTTAATGTCTTCCTTTTGCCTGCATCACCTTTTTATCTTCTTCCACAAACTTTTGCTCCCACAGAATTGAGCCTGCCTTTCTTTCTTCACTGTTCTTTCCTGAATCATTCTAATCATATCTCACTCTTTTTTCCCACAGGGAACTTTCTGACAGTGTATACCCATCTATCTTCCTCATCAAAAACACAAGACATTTCAGGAAAACACATTTGATAAATATTGTTATATTGTAAACTGAACCTGATTCAATTGAAAATCAAATCCAGACACACAGCAGACTTGACGACTTTGTGTCAAAGGAAGCCCATGTTTTATTTTAAAATAAATACATGTTTATGTTTCTAAATAAACAGCCTGAAACTCACAGTATTTCGACCTTCAGAGGGGTGTCTCTTCTGCATTAGCAACAAACTTACATAGAAGCATTTTCTAGGCTCCTAAAAATGAAAACACAGGCTTTTATTTTTCCTATATCGTTACTTATATCTCTCAAACTGCACACGCTAACTTTTGATGTTTTGTGCCTATTGGTTTTCGTTACATGTTATACTGGCAATTCATATGACACTACAAGGATTGTTTGTGAAGATATGGAGTGATTGAGATAAAGCTACTTTATTATTTGCATTGAACTATTTAACAATGCTCAATGTATTAAGGGACAGAGAGGAAAACCACCTTCTGGTGCTGTTGTTTTGGAGAAGGAGGTATGGGAGGCATTATTCAGATTAATACACTCGCATCATCTCAGAGGGCTCATGTATTTTTTATTCTTCCTAACGCTGCTCTTGTTCTTCATGGAAATGAAAGTTTCTTCAATGATAAAATCACCACTAGGTTTACACTGTGCTGTTGCTTAATTATATTCAAACATTAATTAAAGAAGAGGTTAGTTATATTGGCACTGGTAACTGCTGAAGGTGTGTTAGTCTTAATATTGCAGTAATTTCAGTTTCCTGAGTACACCTCACACAAAGGGATTCTTCAGTCCTAATACATATATATGTCTCATTTTTAGAAAAGGTAAGGAATTATTCTATCGAAATTCAACTGCTCAATCTTTGCAAAGCCTCTGCTCTTCTGTTCACATTTACTTCACCACAGAAATCCTACCTTTGAAGCAATATCCACAATAATAGCAGAAAAACATACCTTCTTTACCTGTTTAAGCAGCAATCAGCATCCTTACTACAATCATTCTTGGTATGTACTCCAAAAAATGCTATGGTGCCATGCAGCACCACTGCTTTAGGGAGCTCAGCTAAAATGAGCATGGATCTATGCATCAAGGTTAGTTTCATTCCTGGGAACTGCAGGAACTGCTCGTACCAAAACTAAATGTTTAAATAGCTCGTAGGACACTGGAGGATAGAGCACGCATTAGAGCACACAATGGCCTGGAACTGGAGGCATGTCTACACGGACCTCTGCAAAATTTCAACAGAGGAATCACCCTTTGAAAGCGCCAGCAAATTTGGATGCCTGAGGCCCATGATACCACATGACCAGAGGGGTCTTCTCCTAGCCTTTAAGACATTCTAGCCATCTCTTAAAAATTCTCCAGGTTTTCTACCTATTTTCAGTCTTCGTGGATGACAGTGGTGCAGTAACATCTTCAGCAGGGACAACCTGTCAGGCACACACCCACAACCATTCTAATTTGGGTGTCATGAAGAGCTGCATCAAATGCTGTGCCTATTTTAGGGATGCACAGTCCCCTCCACCGCTCCACCCCTCCTAGATGCATCCCTTCGCCATGCCCAATTTCCTGCTGTGATCCAGACTTTTAATAGCTATACAGCACAAGTCAGTGATGTCTGTCTGACACTGTGCTGCTTCTCTCCTCCGAATCACTGCTGCTCAATAAGTACATCGTCCTGATTTAAAGGTTGCTTATAAAACTTTAAATTAATAGATACATAAATATAAATCATCAGGTGTCTCTGCTCTCCAGTGAGTGAGCCCTCTCCTCAGACAATGACCCATGGGCAAGCACAGCCAGCCTGCAATGCTGCAGACAGGCTAACAGTAATGCAGTTGGATGTTCCCTCTGAACAAAACGTGGCTGCTGCTGTGCATTCTGTTTTTGAGACAGTACCAAGGGGACAGCTCTGACAAATGCCTTGAAATTCAGTGCCCATGGCCCTGCCCTTGCCGTGCTGCAGCACTGTAGCAGAGAGTGGTGACAGTTCAAATGGCTGGCTGGCAGATACATTCACAATACATGAACATTTTGTTAGAATCCTGCCAAGTGTGTCTCTGGTCTCAGTGGGAACCAACCAACTGCTTCAGCTACATTTGGATGGGACAGCTGTTTCATCAAAATATCCCATCTGTGAATGCTCTTGCAGGGTGCACTACATAGTAATAGCCTTTTTCACCCCTTTCAAAATGTATCTTTCACGTTAAAAAAGTCTAGCTTAGTCTGCATTTGTCCAGTCTTTGAGCATCTTGCGTCCAGTCCACAGGAAACAAAAAATTCTCAATTTACCAAAATCCAACACAGAGATCATAAACTCCGTTCATGAGTCTTAGGGCAGCTCCACCAGGCCCTGGCTCATGCCTTCATTCTGCCTCCAGGAGTATGTAGGGATTTCATTAATGGCAGGACAAATTACCTTGACATATCTAAAGGTACTAGTCCAGCTACCTCTATGCACTCTAGCAGGACTTGCAGGCAGCCCCTGAATCACCCAGAAGTTGAATTATCTCACCTTGATTAGTATCACAGAAGGTCTCTCTCTGCAGAGAAACTCTTGCTTTCTTTCAGGGAGTTCCTGACATGACCTCAGACGTGTGTGGTGTCAAACCAGGGCACAAACAGGAAAGTCAGCAAGAGCAACAATGATAAAGTGCATCTTCCTCACTCCCTCAGTAAAACAGTGCAATATGGATATATTTTAAATCATCAGCTCTCTACTCTGTTATGTAGAAATTCTGCTTCCCATTTCACAGTTCTGGGTCCTCCACTCCTGTTAAGACCTTGTTGACTCAGGGCAGCAATGAAAAAGATTTGAGTTTTATCCCAACTTGGTAGTTCTAAACCCCTTGCCAACTGACCAGATTCATGCAAAGCCACAGAATTTGGTTTTCAACTCTGACATGCAGAGATAGGATTACAGATATTGAAACATCTGTTTCCCACTGTGCAAATGGTGTTCCTTGTCTGGCTTTGGAGCTGATACAAGCTGCTCTCTGGAAGACAAGGGTCCCACTGTTTTACTACTGTAGCAACTCTAGTTCCATGACATGGGTAGTGGAAGGTGTCCCTGCCCAAGACAAGGGGGTTGGAATCACAATCTTTGAAGTCCCTTCCAGTCCAAACTGTTATATGACACTATTTTTCTGAGGACCCTGTTCTCCCTCAAACTTACACTTTCTGGGCATAGCTTTCTAGACTAAAATAGCCATAGGAACAGACAGAATCAGGCAGTAAATTGCTGTTTATGTTAGGACTCAGGGGTCAGAAGTGAAGGTAAATGAAGAAAAAAGAAAATCGAGGTGAAATTGGACCTGCTGTTTTGCCAGGTATTACATTTGCATGGTTGTGTAACACATTACAGTGTGAGCCCATTCCTACCCAACGCAAAACATTGAACTGAAAACACAGACAGGAAGAGGAGGGAGACACAGAATCAGAGATCAGCCTTTGGTTGGAGACAAGTTCTGTTTGGTTTTGTACAGTATAATTTCAGAGAACCCATGAAGTGTCATCTCAGACAATCCATACAGTAATTCCTAGTATAAATCCAAGTCAGCAAAGCAGCAGTGATTTATGCACACAGCCATCAGATCCATACTATTTGCTCCAAGTGTAACACAAAGAGCATTTTAGCTTTCTGTCCAGAAGACAGACAGTGTAGGAGAAAGGAGCAAGCTGAACATTACCTTTCCCACTGGAAACCAATCTTCAGCCCTGTCCAATTTCAAAGAGTACTGGAAGAACAGAAGCAGCTCAAAATGGATCACAGAGTATTATGGATACAACCATAAAGGCAGTCTATTAGCAAATTGATTATGGCAAGAATGGACCATAAAGCAGACTACACACACAAAAGGTTAAAATAAATTTGATTTCACTGACCAGACATTGTCTTCTCCACCTCCAGTAGTAGCAGGTTATAAATTTGTCCATAACAAATTACTGTAAAATAAAATCAAAGAATCATAGAATAATAGAATAGCTTGGGTTGGAAATGACCTTAAAGAGTATCCAGCTCCAACTCTCCTGCCAAGGGCAGGAACTCCTTCCACTAGACCAGGTTTCGCAGAGCCCCATCCAGCCTGGCCTTGAATACTTCCAGGGATGGGGCAGCCACAGCTTCTCTGGGCAACCTGTTTGAGTGCCTCACCACCCTTACAGTAATATCTACTCTAAACCTCATCTCTTTCAGTTATCCAAAATCTGCTACAGCCTGGAGGGCTAGCAGAAGATTTTGTAGACACTTACCCATTATAGTTTATAAGTGCCCAGTTTTTCCTTATTTTCTGATTACCCTTGTTTGAAGGACTGAGCTGTTTGCGAACCAAGACCCAGCTTGGTGCAGAACAGCTGTGTAACCCTGGTTCTGTTTTTCTAAATAAGCTGTTGTTGGGAGGTGGTGGTGAGTATGTCCATCCTCATGGTAAGAATACCCGAGAGTTAAAACTGTGCAAGACCAGAAAGGTGAAAACAAAGACAGAAAGGTAATAGCAGAGCTGTATTAGTGAGCATTCAAGAGAGAAAATGTATTGAACACAAAAAAGTATTAGACCATAATTAAAAAAACAGGCACTCAGAAGATAGCAGCATCAGGGCTAAGGCTGTTCCAGGGAGCAATGGAGATGAGCTCTTCCCCGTCTGATTGATGAGAACAACAGAAGCACTGTGGTGAGCATATAAATGCTTATCCTGTTGGCTCATTAAACTTAGGTAACAACTGTGTATATGAGCCAACAAAAAATTGCTGTGCACCCTTTAATTTGCCTACAGCCTGCTTGGAGAGTCTCTGTGTGCATACTAAACTTGTCAGAATCAAACGTGCTGAAAAGAGAGAGTTGCAATCCACCCAGAAAATCATCCACACAACCAAGTCTTCGCAGTAGGTCAAGAATCCTTATCCTGTCTGTCTTCTACTTGCAATCACCCTTTTCTGTGCTCTGACCAAGAGGTCAGATAACCAAAATTCTGTCTCTGAAGCAAACCAATGGAGGAGGAATGGTCAAGGCAGAAGGGGGAAGAAGGAGCCCAGCCACCCCCTGGCCTTCCACACCTACACGC